AGGGAGAGCAAGAGCCTAGTAGGGTAATTAAGATTTGATAATCCAAGATTAAAGACCTCATTAGTGCATAGGGAGTAGTAAGTGTGCATCCACCTTTCTTATTAGGCTTGTCTTGGTCGAGTGACAGTTTGTGCTTGTTACTCTTGCTGATCGCCGTCACCTAGATGGCTCGGTAGTGATTGAGAGCATGGTGATCATTCGGCGAAGCTTGTGGATGACCCAAGTCATGTTATGAGTGGTTATGGGCGATTCACCGCGACAGAGTGTCAAAGAATCAGCCCATAGAGAGCACTTGATCCTTGCGCGGATCAAGGGGGAGCTACACCCTTGCAAAAATTTAGAATTAGCCTAATTCACCCCCCCCCCCTCTTGGGCATCTTGATCCTTTCAATTGGTATCAACGCCTTATGCTCCCTTAATTAGGCTTAACCGCATAGAGCAAGATGTCCCACGGGGATGTCCCCCCTCCTATCTTTGAAGGAGATGATTTTTCTTATTAGAAAATTCACATGGAGGTATACCTAGAGGCTTTAGATGTAGGAGTTCTTAGAGCCGCCTCACAAAGCTTCCCAAAATCTAAGGATCCCACCAACCTTCAAGACGATGAGGTTAACTATGAGAAGTGGAATGCAAAGGCTAGAAACACCCTCTTTAGAGGCCTTTGTAAGGATGTTTTTAACCGTGTGCGGAACCACAAAGATGTCCATGCACTATGGTCAGACATTTATGCGCTCTATAAGGAAACCAAGAGTGAGCGTGAGGAACGCTACCATCTTATGATAAAAAGCTTATTCATTTGAGATGCTTCCTAGAGAAAATGCCAATGAGATGTATTTACGCTTGAATGTTCTTGTAGAGAAAGTCAATGGGCTTAGACTCACATAAATGCGACCATCCTATGATGAAAGTAAGAATGAGAAGGAGAAGGTGACCGCTCTTGTGATTGATTCTTCACTATCTTTATCGACACCGCTGTCATCATCCTCTATACACCTATGCCTTATGGCCAAGGGTGAACGAAAGGTACAAAATGATGATGATAGTAGTGGTAACGATAATGCTAGCAATGATGAAAGTGGTAGTGATAGTGATAAAGAATTTGAATCACCTTCTTATAATGATCTTGTCAAGTTGCTAAACCAATACAATAAAATTATTAGAAAGACAAGAGCTAAAAATGAAAAGCTAGAACTTAAGAAGGACTCACTCTTAGCAAAGTATAACATAGCCAAAAAAGCTAGTGTTGAGTTTAGAGAAGAAAATAAAATTGTGTCATCCAAACTCAAGGAGCTCAAATCCTCTAAAAAGGAGCTTAGAGAAAATATGATAAACTTGAGGGGATACATGATGAGCTCACCACTAGTTACAATTTGCTAAAAGAAGAGTACACCAATCTCAAGATTAATCATGACAATCTTGTTCTTTCTCATGAGTTATTGTTCAATGAGCCACATAATGCTACTAAATGTTATTAAGATTGATATAACTACATCATGTGATGATTTGATTGTTGAGAGCATTGAGCAAGGTTCTAGTAGCAAAGGCAAGAAAGTGGTTGAGTCCAACAACTATATTGAGTATGTCAAGCTCAAGAATAAGAATGAAAAGCTCAAGAAAGATCTTGAAAAGCTATCAACCACAAACACAATTGTGATAGAGAATCTTGACAATGATTATGATATAGCTCTTGAGAATGAGATGCTTAAAGAAGAGAACAAGAGACTCAAGATGATGAAAAATCATGATGAAACTAGAGAAGAAAACAAGAAGCTCAAGTTGAAGAAAGAACATCTCAAGACCGGTTTGAGCAAGTTCACAAGAGGTCAATATCTCCAAAGTGAGCTACTCATGAACATCGTAATGAAGATGGATAGAAGTGGTATTGGGTACTTGGCAAATCAAGAGAAGAAAGCTTAAGCTCAACATCAACAACAATACAAGTCAAAACCTAAGGCAAAAAGATGCTTTGAGTGTGGACAAGAAGGTCACTTTGCTCATGAGTGTCAAACTCCACCACCACAACCCTTGCCCAAGCATGCTAGACTCTTTGTCTTCAATGCTCACTACATGCTTAGAAAGGATTCTAGTGGTAAGATGAAAGTCGTGTTCTTAGGTCCTCCCAACAAGAATAGGCATAAATAAATTTGGGTTGCAAAGTCACTAGTTGAGAAAGTCAATGGTTCCCATTAAGTTTGGGTCCCTAAACAATAAGCTTGATCTCTTGTGTGTAGGTGAACTACAAGACTGGTGAAAGTCATTAGATTATTGATAGTGGTTGCACTCAACATATGACCGGTGATCCTCGTATGTTCACCTCACTAGATGAAGAAATAGATGGTCAAAAAAAGATTACATTTGGTGATAATTTAAAGGGCAAAGTTCAAGGATTGGGCAAAGTTGCAATATCAAATGATCATTCAATATCAATGTGTGATATGTTGCTTCATTGAGTTTCAACTTGCTATCCATTGGTCAATTGTGTGATCTTGGCTTTCAATGTTTGTTTACCGAGAAGGAAGTGGTTGTGTCAAAGAAAGATGATGATCAAGTTATATTCAAGGGTTTTAGATACAACAACCTATATCTAGTGGATTTCACCTCCGAAGATGCAAACTTGAAGACATGCTTATTCAACAAAACATCACTTGGATGACTATGGCATAGAAGATTTGCACATGTTGGGATGAGCCCACTTAAGAAGCTAATGAAGAATGAATTGGTGAGAGGTTTGAAAGATGTGAAATTTATGAAGGACAAGCTTTGTAGTGCATGTCAGGCCGGCAAGAAAGTTGCAAACACTCATCCAACCAAAGCTTACATGTCAACAACAAGAGTACTAGAGCTTCTACATATGGATCTATTTGGACCTATAACTTATAAGAGTTTGGTTGGCAATATTTATTGTCTTGTGATAGTTGATGACTACTCTAGATATACTTGGGTGTTCTTCCTTCATGACAAGACCGAAGTGGCCGCATATTTCAAGAAGTTTACCAAGAGAGCACAAAATGAATTTAAAGTGAAGCTAAAGAAGATAAAAAGTGACAATAAAAAAGAATTTGACAACACAAACATTGAAGCATATTGTGATGAAGTTGGGATCAAGCATGAGGTCTCCGCAATATACACTCCTCAACAAAATAGTGTAGTAGAGAGAAAGAACCGAACACTTATCACCCTTACAAGAACAATGCTTGATGAGTACAATACACCCGAATCTCTATGGGCAGAAGCTATCAACACCGCATGTTATACATCCAACCGTCTATTTCTTTAAAAGTTTCTTTGCAAGACTCCTTATGAGTTGCTCAATGGGAAGAAGTCGGACGTATCATTCTTCCGGGTGTTTGGTTGCAAATGCTACATCTATAAGAAGCGGCAATTCCTAGGGAATTTCTAAAGATGTTGTAATATTGGTTTTTTTGTTAGTTACTCGTCAAAATCCAAAGCATATCGAGTATTTAATCATACCACCGGCTTGGTTGAAGAAACATATGATGTGGAATTTGATGAATCTAATGACTCCCAAGGAGCACATGAGAATCTTGATGATGTAGGTGATGAACCATTGAGAGAGGCCATGAAGAACATTCTGGTTGGAGACATAAAACCCAAAGATGATGAAGATAATGTATAAGTGATTAATCCACCATCTTTATTAAATGTGCCACAAGATGATGATAAAGATGAAAGAGTAGAAAATAAAAATACTTATGTCTTTCGTAATTAAACGGTGGCATAAGCTTAATATATTGATGCTCCACGAGGGACACAGAGCTCTGCAACCACGGACTCGCCCACCTCAGGTCCTTGGTGAAGTGCGCAGTCGAACTGGGTTTTCCAAGCGCCATCAGATGCCTCTTTTGCGCCACCAGACGACCTCACAAAATCAACTGTGGGTTTCAAGAATGCATCCAGAAGTATATTTGTGGTAAAATATACGTATTTAATACTGTGTAAAATCAACTATGACATGTATTTTTTTGGTGTAAATAAGGAGTATATATATAGGAATACAAATCGATTATTATTATTATTATTATTATTATTATTATTATTATTATTATTATTATTATTATATCTGCTCTCCGTCATGCACGTGGACGGACCTATTCTGGGCTGGACGCATGCATTCTGGGCTTCCTGGACCGTTTAGCTTCCAGCATCTAATCCCGAGAGGCCGAGACACCATCGTGGGCCTCATCCTCTTATTGCTGCTGGGTTGGTGGCCCCATAAGAAATGAATCACCACCATATAATCGATCCCGTTTCCATTTACTGGCGGTCGACCTGGGGGGTTAAGAAGATCCCATCTCAAATCTTATATCTGGCAGAGTGCCTGATATTAAGAAAGAAAAAGAGCTCGTAAGTCGCGAACTGAACATCTCGATCGTAGTCTTTGGCCAATCTGAGACATATACCGGTTTATTCTTTTGGATGTGTGCTCGTAGGGCAGGGATAAGTGTGTGCTCTATTAAGGGCGAAATGTAGAGACCATCAGCCAGGTAAGAAACCTTTGAGCTGTGTGACTGACTCCTGCCCTCTTTCGTTATTTTTCCACTCCTGTTTTTCAATGTATAGCAAGCATGGACAGTTCTCCCAAGTCCCATGTAGTACGTACTTTCTGTTCGGGTACGTCAATACGTTGCCTCACGCCGTCACGCTTGCAAGACTTGTGTTAGGAGCTAACAATCGCATCGCAGCATGGATCAGCCATGTTCGCCGTTTCAACGGCCGGTGCAGCCGTGCAGTGCAGGTCAGCCATGGACATAGGTACCGCGCGTGCCGCCATACAGCATGTGCGGGTGTGTACCCACCTGCTCCCCCACCCAGACCAAACTCTCCAAAACCCAACGTCCCAACCCCAACCAGAACACCACTCCACCATCTCGTACTCGCCCGCACGCCGCCTCGCTCTCGCTCTCGGCGCGCCACCACCCGCACACCCACACGCGCGCTCCGCGGCCCAGTGCCCAGCGCGGGCAGCGTCACAGCGACCAATGGCGAGGGCGCGCCAGCGCGGGCGCCTCCTCCTCCTCCTGGCGTTCGCGCTCCTCGCTGGCGCCGCGGCGGGCCGACACGACGCGCCCGCGCCCCGGGCATCGTCCATCTCCGCGGCGCCCGAGTACCCGCCGCTGCCGCGCCTCCCGAACCAGCACCACGGCCGCCACGCCGCCGGCCCCGCGCTCCCGCCGGCGCTGCCGGCGCTGTCGCCCGACATAATGCCCGTGCTGCCGTCCCCCGCAGAGGACGGCGCCGCGCCGGCGCCCGACGCGGGGGAGCCCACCATCCCGTCCAGCCCCAGCCCGCCCAACCCGGACGCGCTGGAGCCCGACTCGGCGTTCGCGCCGTTCGGCTCCTCGCACGCCGTCGCCGCGCAGTCCCCCGCCGTGGCGTCGGCCTCGGCGTCGGCGCTCCCGCTCCTCGGCCTGCTGCTGGCCATGTTGTGGCTGCTGCTGGTGGTGTAGTGGTCTAGCGGAGTGGGCGACCTGCCTGCCGCGGACCACGCCACCATGGTCCTCGCCGCCTCGCCACGGCTTCTCGTGGATGGGGGCAGCTGGGGCAGATCATGTCTCGGCGGCAGGCGTGCAGGAAAAAGGTGGCCCTTTGGTTGGTCGGCCGGGCTGGCTGCCTCAGCAGCTTGCCATGCTGCCACTACTCTCTGCTTCATCCTTGTGAAGAATTGTTACTGCACATCAGCTTTTACTACTCTCCTGTAAATCTTAGCTTTCTTTTCCTTCATATTTTTGGGAGGGGTTACGATATGTTACTATAGCCTTTTGTTTTTGTAACTTTCTGTTAAGTGGAGATTATTTGGGTGATTCTTGTAATAAAACTGGAGGGATTACATATTACTACTAGTAGTTGATTGCTCAGCTATGGTACACTGTACTACTTGTGTGAAGCTCAAATTTGATCCTTAATTTCTTGCTCGTTTCATACTCTACTACCAGTCACCAATTGCCCATTTGCTCCTATTTTCCTCAAATAACATAAATGGGATTGGTCATCACAAGCCACCCAAAAGGGCACAACTGCATCTAGCAGAGGCTCTGCTTACCAGCCAATCATGGTGTGTGTGATTGTTTGTTTCCCTGCTTCCATAATTTGCAGCTCATTGGATCAGATCATTGGCAGTAGTACATGCAAGGAAACGGTTTTTACTCCTACCTTCTACTCAAGCATTCACCTGAAAAAGTGTAGTGTATGATTGTTTCCTTTCTATCACTGGTCAGTTTATGAATACAAAACTCTTGAAGAAGGAAAGGGAACATGGTAATAATTCACCTGAAAGGGCAGCAATGTGCAGCTGGAACTCCACATCGAAAATTCTATACCCTCAGCTTTCTTTGTCCTTTAGATAGAACTGGCAGCTCCATCATCACCCCATGATTATCAGCACAAAGCCTCTGGAGTTGCCACTTTGCCAAGAAATTAATTTTGAAGACGTCATGTCACAATGCTAGCTTCTCACTTGACATCTTCATACTGGTCTGTTGGGCTATATGGGTGATGAGAAATGATATTATCTTCAGAAACAAAAACCCCACAGTTGCTGATTGCAAAAGGACTATCACGGTGGAATCACTCTTGCTGTTGCACAGAACAAAGGCTACAATCACCCCCAACTTAGAAGCATGGATCAACTCCAATTTGTAATTCTCTTAATTTTCTTTCTCTCCTTCTGTGTTCCCTGAAATCTCTCTCCGGTGTGAGTGAGAATGGGAGTGTTTTGCTCGCTGTTCCCCTGTTTTTCCCTGTAATCTTTGACACTTTGCTTTCTCTTTTATTTTCAATAAATTTGCAGTAGGAGCCTCTGGCTCCTTCTGATTCCTCAAAAAAAAAACTGCCGCTGTGCTGCAGGTAGGCATGTGATCTCGTGGTTCTGAGGCGGTATTGGTTAGAGAAGCTCACGTGGTTTCTGAACTGTCCAGGCATATCTTAGTACAGTACTACCAAGAACATTGACTGTTGTTTCTCACAGCCAACTAATAAAGAAAAAAAACAACTCTAGTGCATTCTGCCGTTGAGAGATGGGGTCAGTGGTTCTTGCAGTATTCATTCATTTTATCGAGTGCATTCGCAGTAGTTGTTCTCTTTGTCGGATAGCTGGTGTTGTTGTCTTAACCTACGTAAGAGAACTTGCATTGCTTACTAGCAGGAGTTCACTTACTTAGGGCCACAAATTATAGTTTTACCTTACTGCAAGAAAGACAAACCGCTTCCACACTGTACAGTTCACACCTTAGGAGCCCTTTGAAACGCAGTAATTTTACAGGAATTGTGTAGGAATTTTACAGAAAAAATACAAAGATCCTTCTTTCCAAAGGGGGTTAAGAGGGTCATATATAGTATGTAGGAGTTTACTTACTTAGTGCCACACCACATTACTTACCGTCTTAAGTAACAAATGGCGCAACGAAAGCAAGGCTGAAGAACAGACGATGCAACAAGTAGCTCACAAATCTCATGAACCATGATGCCCAAAATCTCGGGCGTAATAAGAATTCACCAAATTAATTAAAGCTGAAACTAGATGGACACATGCGACGTGAACTCGTGAAGGCAGCGGACAAGCTGCTCCCGGTGGGCATCCAATGAGCAATGATAGGAAAAAGACACCGCGCGCGCGATGAAGATGGGATCGCCCGGCTGGCCATATATGTCGTCAGGCTAGAGCTTCTTCACGTGCATTGTCCATTTGCCCGGCCCCCGAGCTACATCATCGATCTCGAAGATTACCCTGCAATTATGCATGGACCGGTAAATGAAATCTGGCTTGGTTTTTAACCAGTCACCGGGAGTATTACCAGCTCTGACTAATCTTTTACTGTGGACGTGAGCCCTTGGGCCTTGGGGAACGGACCGGCCGGACGAGAAGTTGAAGCTGGAGCTGTGCACCAGCGGTCCAGCAGGAGCTATAGATGGGCAACGGGCGGTCCAGCCCAGCCCAGCACGGTAACAGGCCGGCACAGCCCGATGGGGGTCGGGCTGACAAGGCACGCTGTGCACTGCGGGCGTGCCTATCAGGCACGCGGGTTTGGCTTTCAACCCAGGCACGGCACTATGGGCTTTTTTCGTACCGTGCCAGCCCATCAGGCATGGTAAAATTGGCGGGCCGTGCCAGCCATAGCCCGGTTCATATGAAACACCTCAGAAAACTTATCTCAAACTCAAACCCATTTTCACAATTTCAATCATCAATCATCATTCACAGTTTCAAATTTTAATCATTATTCACATAATATTAGATCACTTGATCAACTCACAGTTTCATATTTTCATTCAACAACTAAGAACATCAATAACTCAAATCAGAGGAAAGCACCGGAGAAGACAAGATTTAGATAACAGAATAAGTTGTTTGTGCAATGTTGCCTTATTAAAAATCTTTTAGGTAAAACTCACCATTGTAAGAAATCCTCTAAAAAAAAAAAAAGAGTGCAGCCAGCTCTAAATTGTCTTAATTAAGTTACAAACCATTGTTTAAATACAAATGATACAAGTGAGTGGTGACAACTTTCACTCTCAACTCACACAAAAGCAACTCTCATTTTCTAGTCACACTCTAACTCTCTCAGCATCACCAACACTTTCATCAACATCAAGATACAAGTTCTTGAATGATTCTTCCAGTTCTTTGTTATCTACAGCATGTTGTTCCCTCTTTTCTCCTAACTCCTAGTCCTTCAAGCAAGTCAGCATCTCAACAGTTTCATGTAACAAATGCCGGCGCCGCTATTCAATGATCCTGCCTGACAAGCTAAAACAAGATTCTGAAGATATAGTAGACACAGGAACTGACATAATATATGTGGTCATTATAGATAGGATTGAATAGGTTAGTTTATGGTCACGCCACCAGAGAAATATGTCAAATCATCCTCATAAGAAGTGTTACGGTCACTATCTAAATAGCATGAGAGTTTAGAAATAATAGAGTTAGAAGAAGATGAAGTGGCAGGGGAAGGACCAACAACACCTGTTCCTGCAAATATTCTCCCCCAAGCCTGTTTTCTCTTACATGTATGGTTTGATGTGTGCAACCCTTTGAGACCTAGCTATACCAAACTTTATTTCATATTTGTTAAATAATTTATTTAATTCAGTTTTCACATCATTGTAGTATGAATTGTACTGATGACCAGTGCTTTGTTCAAGTATTTGGAGAACATTAAAGAAACCTCTCATCTTAGCTCTAGGATCAAGATTGAATGCATATGAATATAACAGAGGTATGTCCTGCCAGTATTTAAGGAATTTAAGCTTCATAGAATACACAACATGCAATAGATTTTAATATCTTTCACATGCATGCAAATGAGATGCAATTTCTAGAACATGGTGCAGCACAAGTGGACTGGTAGGATAATAGACATCAGACAGAACAACAATGCAGTCATAAAAGAGTTTCAGGAACTCCAAAATCTTCTCAGCATAATACCAATAATTTGGAGTCAACAGTGCAGATCCATAATTAGAATTAATGAACACAGAAAAGACTTCCTTATATGGAACAAGTGTTTTAGCATAAGGTATGTAGCATTCCATGTAACATCCATATCCATGCCAAACTTTCTAGGTCTAACACCCTTAGCATTACAGTAGTTCTTGAACATAGCAATTCTTTGATTAGAGGAATTCAAGAAATTAATTGCAGTTCTAAAATCTTCTAGGTAAGGATTCAACCTCTTTAGTCCAAATTTAACAATCAGATTAATTATATGACATGCACAACATTGATGCACAAGACTATACTTACATCCATTAGGTTCCAAAGGATCAGGTGAAGGATCAGTGTTGACATTTATTAGCACCACTCTTAACTAAGTTGTCATCCCTAGTATGATGCTAGAAATGTGTTGTTGGTAATTATGAGAACACCTATAAACTATATATATAAGGTATCCGTAAGCGCACATATAATATATCATTATAGCATTTCACCCGGGAGTATACCGAGTATCATTATTTATATTTTATCCACGGAGAGTAGCTATGGGGTTGTGTTGGCATAGAGATATTGATAAATATGTATACTTATGATAAAACCACTCTCATGCTATGGCAGGGGTAAGTCAAGTGATAAATAAATGATAAGTGTAAGGTAATAATGGTGTTCCAGAGATAGAAATAGATACTCATAAAATATAGTAAGGCTAAGCACGTGATTCATTAAGAGTAAAAGATTGCTAAGTCATTACTTATCTACTAAGTCTTGTGTACACCCAAGTATATACACTATCATCTATAGTATAACTAACTTTGGATCTATGCATAAGGAACATTACTAAGGAAAATTAAGAATAGAGCTTGTCTTCCTTCGCAGTCACGTTCTATGTGCTCTACAAACGGAGAGTGGACTACAAAGGACTCACAGCAATGCCAAACTTAACAATGGATCAGAAAGTTATAATTTTTGAAAACATTAAAACAACTCCTTAAAAGTACACATGCGTTCAAACAA